GCAAGCTGCTCTTGCTTGCAACTTAAAACTTCAGATGTTCCTTTCACAGGCTAGACGCTTTCCAGCTCTTCTCTCCCCCCAGCCCATGTCTTTGTTTCTTAAATGTTCACAGCAAACATCTTGGGCGGGGATTCAGTGAAAAACAAACACTGATTAGGTCACTCCCCTGCCTTAAATAGGTTTCACATATGGCCGGAATCCCTTGTTTTCCAGTGTGAGTCCATCCCTAGTCAGTGGAAAAGTACTAATTTTAACATGTAGTTCAGTATCTGGCGTCGTGATCACATGACCCTGCAGCCACAACTCAAAGTCTATTTGCTGGGTCCACAGGAAGGCTTTCCAGGAAGGTGGGATATTGGAATCTTAAAAGACCTATTGTTTTTCCTAGTAGCCCATCCAGACTGATTGCATTGTCTGGTGGGCGTTCCCCAGGTGAAAACCCACTTGTAATGGATTCATAATCAGTATTCCTAACTTCAGATACCAAAATGAGACATGGTTACAAATAGGATAATCATCCAGTAATCATTACCTTTCCAGTGAGACCTCACATAACCCATCTTGCATAAAATACATCTCAGTTATGCTATGAAGAATACGGAGCGCAGTGTCACAGTCATGTTTTACGAAACTATGCCATAGCACACATGAAGCAGCTCTGGGTTGCACTGATGTACTGTATCAATTTGAAGAACAGAGATATTTGCAAACTAAGCCTTTGATAAGATCTTTTGGGGCTCTTGTGATAATATCAGCACCCAATAATTATGTCAGGAATCAGTTCTAATTTAACCATATACAATTATTTCCCCTCTGCATTTGAATCCACCCTCTCTGCTGGATTTACAAAGAAAACGTGGCACTCTTGGGTGTCACAAGTCTCAGAAATCTCATGGTAACCCTCCTGAGGACTATGACGTCTCTCTCCTGGTATCTGTAGTATCACAGAATGCTGAACATGGAGCACAGTAACAAAGCTGGAAAAACAGGTATCGTGCTAGGAGGAGAAGGGTTTGAAAGAATTTTTGGAAAGTAAATTAAAACAGATTTCTGTGCTCAGTCTCCTGTGCCCAGCCCAGAGAGCAGGGATGTTCCAGTCACCTATCTGAGCTTGCCTACAATTCCATTTTCTCTTTACAGTTCACTTTTAACTAGAGATAGACCCCAAACTAGGACACAGAATCCAGACCGCTCAGAAACATGAGGAAAGTCAGATCTAGGTGCAGATTTCAACTTCACAGCTCAGGTTTCTTTTTATGGTGGCCCATTTCAGAACCCAAATCCTAACACTCTTGTGAAGTGACTTGGGTTTGGATCTGAAGATTAGGAGCTTGAATTTGGATCAAAGCTTCACAACTGACCCACTTGTGCTATTAATGTTACAAAGTTTAATAGTGTGACTTTCCAGTTCTTAATTATTACTCATTATAATATATTTTGACATTATCCAATCCAGCAAACTCCTAAATTTATGCTTAATTATAAGCATGTGAGTAGTCCCACTGAAATCAATGGACTTAAGCACACTGAAGTACTCTGGCAGGTAAGGGCCTTAAGAAAAAATGAAATAAAATATTGTCAGTTTCAGGGGAACTGCACTTGTATTCCCCTCATCTTCCCATTTCCCCCTGCCCCCGCTTCCCCCCCAGGCTCCCCACCCACCTCCCCATTGCCTTGGCCCCACTGCCTCCACACAGAGCCCAGCAATCTCCCCCTTAGCATTCTGCCTTCCCCAGGCTCCCTATGCACATCCCCATCATCCTGGTTCCCTGCTGCCTCCCCCAGTCTCCCCAGCCATCCCCTCTGGCCCCCAGTGACTCTCCCAGGCTCCCCAGCCATCCCTGCATTGCCCCTGGCCTGTCCAGCTTCCTGCAGGCTCCCTGAGCCCCTCTGCTAAGCCCTGCTTCCTGAATTGCCCTGAGCTTCCTTCTGCAGTCAACCAGCCATACCTTGCTTTTCTCACCAGCCTGGATTATCACAGGGTGACCCCAACACACTCCCAATCCCAGATTTTCGCACAGAAATGTATGTTCTGTCATGTCCAACCCTCTCCCAGACAGTTCAGAAATACTAAATTAGTTATTCCTTTAAAGGGAATAATGTACACCAGCTCATTTCCATAAATTAAGTTACTCCAACATTTTTCTTAAATTTTCTTTCGCTAAAAATTTTGAAATTTCAATTTCTGATCCGCTTCAGAATCAAAACAAATTTAGAAATGTCAGAATTTCCCATGGGATGGACACTGTATTTCCCAATGATCTCTATTCATAACACAAGACCTAGAGAATGTTCAGTGACATAAAGGGTGGGAAATTCAAATCTGATCATAGGAAATACTTTTTCACACAATGGGTGATTATCCAGTGGAATTCTCTGTCACATGATGCTACAGAGGGCAAGAACTTAGCAAGACTCAAAGAGGGACTGGATATTTCTATGGACCACAAGAACTTCCAGAGCTGGAATAGTTAATGCATACAACCATGGCAGGGATATTAAACTTCCTGCTCCAAGACTTGAACTGACTGTAACCATTACAGACCAAGATGAGACCTAGCACAGGAAGATTATCCCCAAATTTGTTAGTGTGGGGTTCTTACACCTCCTCTGCAGCCTCTGATGCTGGAAACAGGACACTGGAGTGGACAGGCCTCTGGTCTGATCCAGTCTGCCTATTCCCTATAACCTAAGTCAGTGACTCTCAACCTTTCCAGACTACTGTACCCCTTTCAGCACTCTGATTTCTCTTGCGTATGCCCAAGTTTCACCTCGCTTAAAAACGATATGCTTAGAAAATCAGACATAAAAATACAAAAATGTCCCAGCACACAAGTATTGAGAAAATGCTGACTTCCTCATTTTTGTCATATAATTATAAACTAAATCTATTGCACTATAAGGATTGTACTTATATTCCAGTGTATAGTATATAGAGTGGTATAAACAAGTCATTGTCAGTATGAAAGTTTAGTTTGTACTGACTTTGGAAGTGCTTTTTATGTAGCCTGCTGTAAAACAAGGCTACTATCTAGATGAGATGGTGTACCCCCAGGGGTACCCCTAATTGAGAACTACTGACCTAAGTGATTTGCCACAGAGGGAGCAAGTGGCAGAGTTAACAATAGAAACCAGGAATCCTGTAGCCCAGCCCAGCCCTGTAGCCACAAGCCCAGCCTTGCTCCCTCATTCAAGGCTCCCAACGCACCTCCGCATGGCCTGTCCTGGCCCAGAGAATGCAGCAAGGCTGCAGCCCATGAGCCGGGCTGGCAGAACCCGGCTATGTTCCCCTCCCTTGATGGCCATCTCAGTGGATGATTTGGGCATGCTCTTGCTCCAGTACTGCTTGATGATGCTGACCCGGTTGGTGTTCAGATCAGGGTTGGGTCCCTCCTTTGAAATAGCACAGAGAGGGGAAGACACGGCTGGGATCCCATTCCAGGGCAGTCCCGACTCCCAGTCCCCACTACTATAACCCCCCAGCCACCCCTGCCCTCTAAGAGACATGGATAGAACCCAGGCATCCTGAGGCCCATGTTGACCCTCCCTGCCCCAAGCCACCTGCCCCACTTCAGCCACTGTTAGCTGTTACCTCTGGCCGCATGAACCACAGGGACTGGACTTCCCCCCCTCTTATGTGAAGCAGTTGCGAGAGGGGGGAAAAGAGATCCAGTCACCTTAGGGGAGGTGCTGTGGGACAGAGGAAATATCCAGTGCAGAAAGGATAAGACTGGGAGAGACATTACTTCACAGACCAGCATCCTCTTCTCCAGCAGCCAGGGATGGTGCTGGCCTTGGGCTCACATCGGTTAGGGGGTGCTGGGGTTAGGGGCAACAGGGTCAGTGGTAGTGGTCAAGGCTGGGCTCTGTAGTGCCCCCTCTGTCTGGGGCTGTGTCACACACAGAATCCATCCCTTCTTTCCGCACTGTAGCTTTCACGGCAAAGCACAGCTTGGCGAACTTTTGGAAGACCCGGCTGCGCTGGGCGTCCCGCAGGCGCTTGATGTGTTTAACCTTGGACCATTTATTGCAGCTGGTGTAGATGGCATCTGTGGTGTGCAGGGCTCGGCCCAATGGGCGGGATCTAGGGGTAGCCAGCTGGGGCATGAGCACTTGAGGCCAGAAGATGGCATAGGGCAGTGGCCCTCCCCCTGGCACTGGGCAGGGATATGGGTGTGAGCTCCTGAAACACACACGTTACACAGCTGGGTGAGAGCTCTTGTAACACACACAGCCCTCCGGAAACACGATGAAGTGAGCTGTAGCTCACGAAAGCTCATGCTCAAATAAATTGGTTAGTCTCTAAGGTGCCACAAGTCCTCCTTTTCTTTTTGCGAACACAGACTAACACGGCTGTTCCTCTGAAACACACATACAGCCATGTGAGAGCTCCGGGAACCACAGGGGCTAGAATTAGGGGTGCTATGACACCCCCTGGTTTGAAGTGGTTTCCAATACATACAGAGGTTAGGGTTTGGTTCACTGGCTCTCAGCAGCCCCCCAATACAAACTGCTCCAGTCCCGCCCCTTGCCTGTATCGCGCACAGACACAGAGCGAGCGCTGCTCAGACAAACCCACCACACACAGCCTGGGGTGTGATCTCCTGTGACACACGCACCAACACCGCGCAGCCGAGCAACACACACGACACAGCCCGACCCGTGTGTTACTGCGACACTCCCACGCTGCACAGCCTGGCCGGAGCCCTCTTGTACCCACTAGTCCCCGCCCCCCTCCCAGAGCCGGGAGAGGACCCAGGAGTCCGGGCTCCCAGCCCCCCGCAGCCAGCTCCCCACGGACTTGGGCCCCAGGCGTCCTGGCTGCTGGAGCTAGCGGCGGAGGCGAGCGGTCCTTGGAGCGCGCGGGAGACGCCGCAGGGCTGGAGTGGGGCGAGGCCAGACACCTGGGTCCCAGCCCAACCCCTGCGCAGGGTGGGTCCCGGCTGCAGCCGCAGAGTGAGGAGCTGGGAGCGGGCGCTGGCGCTGGCGGGAGGCGGCCCCGGGGAGGGAGGCACCAGCCGCGGGGCGGGAAGTCGCTACCCGGGCGGAGGAAGCGGCCGGGGCCGGAGCCGAGCGCGGCGATGGCTGCAGCGGGGCCGGCGCAGGTAGGACGCGGGGCGGGGACTCCCCAGCCGGGGGCTGGGACCCGGGTCCCTCCCACGCTAGTGACCCCGGGGCTGGGAGCGGCTCAGCGCGGCGAGGCAGGGTCCGGGGTCCCGCTTTGCACCAGCGCAGCCCAGGGGTCAGGGGCTGCAGCAGGCGGAGCGCTGGGGCCGGGGAGCGGCTTTGGGGCCCCGGGACCCGCCCACAAAGCCTGGCGGACATGCGGAGCCAGGCGCGACCCCTTTACCCCGAGTCCCCGGGGGGCTGTGCGGGGGGGTCTCCCTGGGTCACAGCTGCTGGGCTGGGGGTTCCCCGGGAGCCGCTGCCCTAGAACCCGCGTCCCCTGCTGAGAGCCCGGGCTGGGGCTGGCGCGGAGGGTGCTGAGTGTGTACCGGAGAGGTGGGCAAACTACGGCCCGCGGGACCGTCCTGCCCGGCCCCTGAGCTCCCGGCGGGGAGGCTTGTCCCCGGCCCCTCCCTCACCGTTCCCCCTCCCCGCGGCTACGCCGCCGCCCGGGCAGCGCTCTGGGCTGCGGGGTTGCGCGCTCGGGCGGGGAAGCGCCTCTTGCTCAGGCCTGGCAGCGCAACTCCAGACATGCTGCGCTGAGCGGCATGGTAAGGGGGCCGGGGCAGGGGGTTGGAGAGGGGGCAGAGAGTGCTGGGGGGCAGTCAGCGAGCAGGGGGAGGTTGGATAGGGCAGAGGTGCGGTGGGGACAGGGGGGATTGGATAGGGGGTGGTGTCCTGGGGGTGTGAATGGGGGCAGGGCAGTCAGGGAGCAGGGGGGGTTGGATGGTAGGGGGTCCCGGGAGGTGGCAGTCAGGGGACAAGGAGCAGGGGGGGTTGGATGGGTTGGAGGTTCTGAGGGGGGCAGTAAGGGGGCAGGAAATGGGAGGGGTCGGCTAAGGGGCGGGGGCCAGGATGTTTAGGGGGCACAGCCTTCCTTACCCAGTCCTCCATACAGTTTCACACCCCGATGTGGCCCTCGGGCCAAAATGTTTGCCCACCCTGGTGTAATGCTTGCGCCAGCAGCTCCAGGTGGCGTTTGAGGATGTCACTCTGTATTTCACCCGGAGGGAGTGGGAGCTCTTATCCCAGCCCCCAGAGAAGCAGCTGTACCGGGCTCAGATGCTGAGGAATTACCAGGCCCTTGTTTTCCTGGGTAAGGACCCATTTCTCTTCTTTTAGTCACAGCTGTGAAATGTCGGGTTCCTTCAAAGCCTCTGCTGCCACGTGCCACTCAGCAGCCAAATGGTGGTAAATGTCAGCCCCTTTCAGGCCAGCTTCCTGTTGAAGGACAACTCAGGGCTACAGAGCCTGGGGCTAATCTCTGCGTATTATTTATCTGTTTATTACGTACCTCAGTCCTGGCACAGCGGTGGTAGCAAACAGCACATAAGTAAAAGCCTCTTCCAGGAATCCTAGCCCAGTCACTGAGGGCAGCAACTCTGCCTTAAGAACTGACTCTAGTTAGACGAATAAGGCAGGGAAAAAACTCTCCTGCTGCTTGTAACAGCTCCCCATCTCCTCCAAAAGAATGAACAGCGTAGTAAATTTAACAACCGTACAGTTGAACAATGCTGCATCCTTAGCAAAAGATCTGATAGGTCTGTTTAATCTTTAAGGTGCCACAGGACTCCTTGTTGTTTCTTCTAAGGAAGGTTTATTTCATTATTCTCCTGCCTGGGATCTCTTGCACTCTCGTCTGAAGCAGCGACCGAGAGCAGTGTCCCGTCGTGCTAGGTGCTGTGCAGACACACCCTGACCGAGATCGGGGCCTGGTTGTGCTGGGCTGCACCAACATATAAACGAGTCACTGCCCCCAACGCTTCAGTAATAAAACTGATTCTTTCCCCCCAAACAGGCTCTTCAGGTTCCACACCAGACTTAATCCACTGGTTCGAGGTAAGGGAGGCAGAGCTCTGGATCCGGGATGCCGAGGGCTCCAGGGAAAGCTCCGGGCCTGAGAGCCCCTCCTCAGGTGAGTCGTCATAATCCAGTCCCTTCTGATTTACACACCTGCTAGGAGAGGGCTTCTTAATGTAGAAGGCAAAGGCAGAGCGAGCTCCACTGTCTGGGAGCAGAAGGGAGACCAATGGAGGCTGGGAATTAGGGGCCAGTGTTTATCTTGGAAGGGAACGAGCGTCTGGGAGAGCTCCCTTCACAATGCAATGGACTCTCCCTCACTGGGAGTCTGTCAGTGGAGATGGTGCATCTGCCTCACAAAGCCCTGCTCTAACTCAGCCAAGAGTTACTGGGGTAGATAGTTTGGCAGGAAGCCTGGCTGGATAGTCGCAATGAGCTTGTCTGGCCTTGATGTCGATGAATCATAGAAATGTAGGACTAGAAGGGACCTCGGTAGGTCATCAAGTCCAGTTCCTAGCACTGCGGCAGGGCTAAATGTTACCTAGAGACCATCCCTGTCTCATATCTGTCTAACCTGTTCTTAGTAACCTCCAATGACGGGAGATTCCACAACCTGCCTAGGTAATTTGTTCTGGTGTTTAACTAACCTCAGAGTTTGGAAGTTTTTCTGAATGTCTAATCTAAATCTCCCTTGCTGCAATTTAAGCCCATTACTTCTTGTCCGGGCCTCAGTGTTACCCACACAAAATTCTCTGTCACTCACACAGTCTATAGGTACCCACCCTTACCCGTTCCGTGTGCTCAGGTGTAACCTTACACTCTGCGGGTTTGCGGGATCTTTTACCAGTGAAAGAGCCTTACACAGCAATATCCTACTTAATCTCTATTTATTACCAATCACCACAAACAGAATGCACATGCTAAGCATAAAATGCTCACCACTCCCAATAAGACAGATGAACTTTTCTTGATGGCCAGTCAGGATCAGGTCCACCTGGGGGATTCCTGTTTCTGTACAGTGTCATTGGCAGAGGGTTGAGGTCTGGCAGCTCTGAGCTTGGGGCTGTGTCCTGGAGTTGGTTTCCAAAGAACTTCCTTTAGGACCCCAGTTTATATAGTGAAACTGGAGGCCTGCTTAGCTGTATCTTAACCAATCATTACACTAAAATTTTAGGAACCAATCCTAACATATTGTAACATAATTCTCTAACCAATTATATCCCAGCACCTTAATTGATTTACACCTAGAAAAATTAATTATACAGTAGACAGAAACAATCAAAGAACCAGACAGAGATCATACAGACAAACAATAGGGTAGTGGGGACCATAATGACAAAACAATAAAGAAATGGGGCTTTCACAGCTACCAACTACTGAGAAGTAGTTTCTTGTTAGAGAGAGTGCCATCCAACCAAGTTTTCTGTAACCATCTTAAGATCTGTTTCTTTACCTGGTGACAGTGGGTGCCATTAGAACTGGGTCTCCTTAACAGCCCAGTATTACATTGTGTTAATGTAATTTAGACAGAATAAGAGGATGTGACTTTCTGCTACTCAGTTTATGGCTGCTGCTCTTTCAATCTGGCTGTAGACAAAGGCCATAGGCTTTTAGGCCTTACAATATGGCTACAGGCCTTATAATATGGCTACAGGAAGAGGGCCTGATCCTTACATCAGTGGTTAAGGAGAACAATTTATCACCCTACTCAGTGTAGCAACCTTTTTTCTACACATGTAATCATTCTTCTTGCTCTCCTGTGTGACCCTCCCCAATTTGTCCACATCCTTCTTGAAGTGTGATGCCCAGAACTGGACAGAGTATTCCAGTTGAGGCCTTATCAGTGCTGAGAAAAGTGGAAGAATTACTTCTCACAACTTGCTTGCAACACTCCTGTTAATACATCCCAGAATGATACTTGCTTTTTTGAAACAGTATTCTATTTTTGACTCATTTAATTTGTGATCCAGTATAACCCCAGATGGTTTTCTGCAGTATCCTTTCTTGGCAGTCATTTCCCATTCTCTATTTGTGTAAGTGATCATTCCTACCTCAGTGTAGTACTTTGCATATGATCTCACTGAATGTCATCCTATTTAATTCTGACCATTTCTCCATTTTGTTAAGGTTCTTTTGAATTGTAATCCTGTCCTCTAAAGTGCTTGCCACCCCTCCCAGCTTGGAATCATCTGTAAACTTCATGAGTGAATGCTCCACACCATTGTCCAAATAATGAATAAAGATACGGAATTGAACCGGACCCAGGACAGATCCCTGTGGGATCCCACTTGATATGTCCTTTCAGCTCAATTGTGAACCATAATAACAACTCTGCACAAGTGGCTGGAAAACCACACTCAGACTCACCTTATAGTAGGTTTCCCTAGGCTATATTTCTCTAGTTTGTTTATGGGAAGGTCATGCAAGATAGTATCAAAAGCCTTACTAAAGTCAAGATGCGACATCTACTGCTTCCCCATCCACAAGGTTTGTTTCTTGCCAAAGGAGGATATTAGGTTAGTTTGATTATAATTTGTTCTTGAGAAGTCCATGTTGACTCTTACCTGTTGCTGTATTTCCATCTAGGTGTTTACAAATAGAAGGTTTGATTACTTATAAAATCATAGAAAATTAGGGTTTGAAGAAACCTCAGGAGGTCATCTTGTCCAACACCCCTGCTAAATGCAGAACCAATCCCAACTAAATCATCCCAGCCAGGGCTTTGTCAAGTTGGGCCCTAAAAACTCTTATGGATGGAGATTCCACCACCTCCCTAGGTAACCCATTCCAGTGCTTCCCCACCCTCCTAGTGAAATAGTGTTTCCTAATATCCAACCTAGACGTCCCCCACTGCCACTTGAGACCACTGCTCCTGGTTCTGTCATCTGCCACCACTGAGAACAGCCGAGCTCCATCCTCTTTGGAACCCCCCTTCAGGTAGTTGAAGGCTGCTATCAAATCCCCCCTCACTCTTCTCTTCTGCAGACTAAACAAACCCAGTTCCCTCTGCCTCTCCTCGTAAGTCATGTGCCCCAGCTCCGGTAATCATTTTCGTTGCCCTCCGCTGGACTCTCTCCAACTTGTCTCAGGGCAGGATCAGTCATGTAGGAAGAGTGCGAGGTCGTGCCCAGGCAGAGGACGCCATTTTGTAGAGCAGGTCTCAGGCACTTGCAGCGTTTCACTGTAATGCTCTAAAACTGCCCCGGGTTCCAGGCAGCTGCTGCTGCGGGAGCGGAGGCACGTGGGGGCCAGAGGAAATGGTCCTGTGGGCCACGACTTGGAGTATCCTGGTGTATGGGCTGGGTGTGAGGGAGAGGGGGTGGGATGGCCTTTGTCACATCCCCTCTCCTCCTGCTCTCTCAGTGGCACGAAATCGTTGTCACTTACATTGCTTCAGTGTCAATGCTTAGCTCAGCCTGAACGCATCTGTGACTATCTGTAGCTCAAAGGCCTGCCGGGTGGCAGCCATTCACCCCTTCCAGCTCAGCAGTGCCACGGTTCAGGTTGTAAAACAAGACAAAAATGTTTTTGAGGTTACATCACACAAACCCTGAGTGACTTGTCATATACTCAACCCCCTCCCCACCCTCCCCCTCGCCAAAAAAAATCCCAACCTTCTTGAGGATTTTAGTTTAGTTTTAGTTTTGCACAAAGAATGAAACAAATGTCAAGCCGTGGAATAAGCTACGTTGTGCTAGGCAGCTACCTGCATCCACAAGAGGGGATTGTAGCCCTTCAACTGAACTATATTGAAACCAGTATTGTTAAAACAGCACAAAAAGTGGGGAACAGGCCTCGTGCTATAAAACAGGAGAAAGTGAAGAACCAGCACCATGTAAATAAAAGCCTCTGTTTGAAATGAAACGGAGAAGAGGGAGGGGGTTAGAGGCTGCTTTCTTCACAGCACCCTGCCCATGGGGCTAGGTGTGGAGGCAATATGAGGGGGATGGACACAGTGAGGCACATGGGGCTGCTGGGTGGTGGTGGTTACAGGAGCTAGAGGGGTGACACTGAGCCAAGTGGGGGTGCAGGGACACATGGGGACAGGATCAGAGGTGTCTGATTGAATGGGTGAGGTCAAGGTCTCCATAAGGGAGGTTCTCCAACTCTCTTAACAATTCTCCCTCCCCGCCCAAAAAAAACAAAACAAAACCAAACCCTGTTCCATACTTCTCCCACCAACACCCAACAACTCTCAAAGTTCACTCCAGGCCCCTTCCCAGCAATTACTTCCCTCTCCCTTAGCTTCTCCATTACTCCTGGCTCCCCCAAGGCTTTGCACTGCTTCTGAGGGGTTCAGGAAATACATTTCTATATTGTAGTTTAAATGAATTATTCAAAGTTTGTGTTAATAAGTCTAGTAAGGAATCTATTTGTGAAAAATCACTTCCTGAATTTTTTTTAGTTCTTTGTATTGTTATAGACACAGTTGCTGACAGGTATTTTGAAATAAATTACCAAAATAATTGAAATTAGCATAATTATATTGTATTATTTTGACAAATAAAATATGCAGAATATTAAAATATGGTGTGCAAAATTTTGGGGTTTTTTGGCATAGAATGGGAAACTTTCTTTGTGCACCTGCCAGTCACATGGTTCATGAGGCCTCATGTTCAGTGAGGCCCTAGAACATTTTGGTTGGTTCGTCTTAAAGATTTACACTTCACCCAGGCTTTTCCCCATGACATCTGAAAGCATCAGCTTGTTTAATAGCAAAGATACACCAGGTTAGACAGACCTTTGTTACACATTAGGTACGTAGTTCATCACATTTCTACTTAAAGTAGACGGCATGAGCAATTCCTGAGTCTTCTTTCAATCACACGCACTGGCCTGTCCTGCCCCGCCCCTCAGCCCAATCCATGCTGAGACAGGCCTGCAAATCCCACCTCTACATGTTGCCCAAGAGTCACCCCCAGCTGGAACCAGGGTAGGTGTGGTGAAAAGTTCCTGGCTGGGTCCCATTTAGATGGGGAGGTGGGGTATGTGTCTTGTCTGCATCCTACCTAGATATGTGTGTGTATGGGACAGAAAGAGAGAGATTTGGCTGGATCCCAGCTAGATGAGGGGAGGGGATATCCTAGGTGGATCCCAGCTAGATGCAGGGGGTCCCTAATGGAGTAAGCTGTGACCATCTACTCTAAAATCCCCACACCTGTCTGCTCTTCCCCACACTGCTCAGCAAAGTCCTCTTTCCTGCCCCACACAGTCTCTCTGCTGGGCATCATGGGGACAGGACCACTCCCTGGTCTGCATCTGCTGGCGCTGGGTCAGGCCCACGGGTTGCCAGAAGCCCCACAGGCCGCCAGAAGCCCCACAGGCCCTGCCAGTGATACAAGGGTGCTGGTGTGAGTGATCTGGTGCCAGGTGAGGTTGCCCAACTGAGAAAAGCGTTTGCCACAGTCAGCACAGCTGTACGGCTGCTCCCCGGCATGAGTGCACTGGTGTATTTTTAGGTGTGAGCTGCGTGCAAAGCTTTTGCCGCAGAGAGTGCATTAGAATGGCCGCTCCCCGGTGTGCGTGCTCTGATGTTTGGTCACTGCACTGGCGCTGCTGAAGCTCTTGCCACAATTCTGACAGTGGTAGGGCTGCTCCCTGGTGTGTGCGCTGGTGGGCTCTCAGGTGTGAGCTCTGTGCAAAGCCCTTCCCGCAGTCAGCACAGCGGTGCGGCCGCTCCCCGGTGCGTGCGCGCTGGTGTCTGGTGAGCGCACTGGGACTGATGAAACTCTTGCCACAATTATCACAGCGGTGCGGCCGCTCCCCAGTGTGTGTGCACTGGTGTATTCTCAGGTGTGCAAACTGTACAAAGCTCTTGCCACAGTCGGTGCAGCGGTGCGGCCGCTCCCCGGTGTGCGTGCATTGATGTACTCTGAGGCTTGAGCTGTGCGCAAAGCTTTTGCCACAGTCAACACAGCAGCGTGGCCGCTCCCCAGTGTGTGTGCACTGGTGTGTCCTCAGGTGTGAAATCTGTGCAAAGCCCTTGCCGCACTCAACACAGTGATACGGACGCTCCCCGGTGTGCGTGCGCTTATGTATTCTCAGCTTTGAGCTCTCTGCAAAGCTCTTGCCACAGTCAGCACAGCGATACCGTTGCTCTCTGGGGTGCATGCACCGATGCTGGGTCAGTGCGAGTGGGTTGCTGAACCTCTTACCACAGTCAATGCAGCTGTGGGGGCGCCAGCCCACGGGGAGTCTCTGGTGTGCAGCCACATCTGGTCTCTGGCTGAGTCCACCCCGGGGATGGACTGCGTCCTGTGCATGGATCCCCCTGTGGGTCATGGGATCCTGCGTTCCTGCTGCGCTCTCCCCACATTCAGGTGGTGTCCTCGTTCCCCCCAGGATCCCGAGCCCTGCTGGGGAGAGCAGAGGCAATCCCGGTGTTAGCTCACGGTTAAGGCTACAGGTTTGTCAAGGAAGGAAAAATGTCACGAATGGAGCGATTTCCACATTTGTCCATGACTGGTTTTTGGATGGGTGCCTCACTCTGCAACGGCGGCTCCTGTCGGGATCAAAGACCTCGCTCTGGGAATTGACACCTGGCATGCCAGGTTACAGTGCCACTCAGCTATGCCCCTCCTTCCTGTCATTATGGTGGGGGGAGGAAGCCAAACTTTAGTGAATGGCCTTGCCACTCAGATCCACTCTAGCCCACCCCAACCCCTCTACACCAGGCAGGGGTCAGGGTTGGAGCGCTGGGGGACCTGTTGGGCGGTTGGTGCCCCTGGGCAGGGCGAGGAGGAGGAGATGTTTTATTAAAAATTATGGAGCTGTCACAGTAAGTTTAATAACCTGTGGCTTTTACTAAATTTACTGTAACTGCTCTGTAATGTCTGATATGAAATGCCATAACAAATCTGCAGCCTGACTCTGGGTGGTTCTATCCTATGTTGTTTGTGCAGCGCCTGGTGCCTATTCCCACGTGCGTCATGCACCTTGAGAGTCTTGTTTTGTGCTTGAACTATAGCCTGCCCAGGCAACAGGCAACACCTGGAACAAAGGGGCCCTGATCCAGGACTTGGGCCCCTAAGTGCTAACACAGTTGAAAATGGGTCCACGGTTTATTTTCAATCTGATTTTGGTTTTATTTCTATCAGAGGTTTTTATTTTCATAGAATCATAGAAGATTAGGGTTGGAAGAGACCTCAGGAGGTCATCTAGTCCAATGGGTCTTAAACTTCTCTTTTTGTGGACCTCTTGAAAATTCCTGAGGGT